GAGCTAAAAATAGAAAAACCTTGTTAACACTCTAGTGGTCACAATTTTGACTCAATTGTCATCAAACTTGGTCAGGAAACTTGTCTATGTCATTGCTGGGTATAAATCGAACATGGGACATCTCGGATGAAAAACTAGGTCATAGGAGCTAAAAATAGAAAAATCTTGTTAACACTCTAGTGGCTACTGTTGTGATCCAAATATTCTGTTAATTGGTCTGAAAGTTTGTTTTGATGTTTTCTAGTCAAGATCGAGCATGGGTCATCTTGGATGAAAAACTAGGTCACACCGCCCAAATATGGAAAAACCTTATAGTGGTTACATTTTCGACTCAATTATCATCAAACTTGGTCAGGATGCTTGTCTAGGTAATTGCTTGGATGAGTTCGAAATCGCATGTGAAACTAGGTCACCGGAGCTAAAAATTGAAAAATCTTGTTAACACTCTAGTTGCTACTGTTTTGATCCAAGTATCCTGGAAATTGGTCTGAAAGTTTGTTTTGATGATTTCTAGGTCATGTTTGAATATTTGTCACCTGGGTAAAAAACTAGGTCGCACTGCTCAAATATGGATAATCCTTGTTAACACTGTAGTGGTCACATTTTTGACTCACCTGTCATGAGACTTGGTCAGAATGCTTGTCTAGGTAATTGTTTGGATGAGTTTGATAAGTCAGGTGAGCGATCTAGGGCCATCATGGCCCTCTTGTTAAACATAAGTAGACATGGGCCGAATTAACCAACTTCGAGACCGAGTTGAGCAAGCAAAAACGTTGTGGGCCGAATCAACCATATTAATGTCTGAATACATTGGAACTGTGTTGACTATAAAAGTTTAAGTTTGATAACACGGATAAAACGGATTTTGTACTGCACATAATGAAACATACAGAAATTACGTTACAAATGTATAACATTAGAAATTATGATAGTCATGTCATATATCATTTCAATTCAATTGGATTCAGTTCAGAGTATTTGATTTTTGAATTCATGACATGCATCATTTTAAGTAGTTAATTTTTCTGTATTTGATTTTTGAAGTTCTATAGTTACTGAAGTTTATAAAGTATATTGCGTTGTAATTGATGAACAATTTTGCCATTTTGATTTTTAAATCACAAAAAGTCGCAACTATTATGACATTAAAGATCAAAATAAGAGCAGTGTAAAATGGTTGTTGATAATCATAACATGTAAAATTCACAGTCTTAAGAAAAAGAATTAATATGAGAAATACAATTGAATTTTTTCTTGTGGTAGAAATAAACATATTAAATCTGTGTCTTGTCCATTTAGACGTTTTGTCATAGACTAGGAAGCCAACTTCTAAATGCATCAATGGCAATAAAATATATCTTAAATGATTATACGATATAAATATATACCGTTTATATACCGATACCGATATACCAGATATGATTTTGTCTCAAAATGTAGCTTTTCCACTTACCCCCCTCTATCTTGAAAGGGAACTCAACAGAAGGTTTGTGACATGCCGGGACTACTGGGACTTCTAGAAATACTTTTTTTATTTTTATACATTTGTTTCATATACCTGGACCAAAACCTTTTGTGCAGATATTCAGAAATAAGCAAATTTTAAGGAATCATAATGTTTGCATTTTATTGTTTATAACTGCTCTCATCCGTTATGAGTATAGTATGGAATATATATTTGTATACCTGTCTGTCAATTTATCAAATGCAACGTCCAACATAAGCTGAAAACGCAGTATTGCATTAAACTATAAATGACCTGTATAATAATTGATGTTAGTTTCATTATACTGCTGTTTTCAAATAGTCCATCTTTATTTAATGTAGTTATTCAGAAATATTTTGATTTTATTTGAATGTTTTTGACCACAAAATTTTAAGCTATTTAAGCACGCATTATTTTAAAAGGTTCGTTGTAAATTGATGCTTCTTAATAACCTATAAACTTTTGTCAAAAAAAAAATATAATTGAATGTTCTGATTGGACTAGGCACGCATTTTCATTCAATCTATATTATTAAATTAATACTTAATATCGGAATAACTTTATTTGTCAGGATATTTGTTTACTGAGTTGCATATACCCTACATGAAACGTTGAAATATTATTTAACTGACAAAAAGTTAAAAATATGTCCATACAAATACCAGTGCCATGTTGCGATATACAAATATCTTGTGAAATGAAACGAGAACCGGTTGAACCGGGTGATGCTCCCCGAGTAGGTTTTGGACACAGAAAAGCATTCTTTTTGAAGTGTTTGAGTAATGTTTCTGACAAAATTCAAAGAGTAAAAATAAACTAAGGGCAATAACTCCAAAATTAAGCAAGGCAGAGTTAAGATTCTTTCGCACTGCACTTCTATTTAATGAAATCCATATGTCTACAAACCTCTTGTGGTATCATAACTATGGCTGGGACAAAGTTCAAAGTGTAAAAATGAACAAAGGGCAATAACTCTGAAATTAGGTAAGACAGCGTTACTGTTCTTATACACTGCACATCTACTTAATGAGTTGAAATATATGTAAGTTTATGAGAAGGGTATAATACAAAAATGACAAACTTCAGAAAATATACTTAAAAAATTAATGGGTCTAAGAACAACATTTTGCCATGAAATATCTATATGTAAAAGCTTATGTTTATACCTCCGATAGCCTTTAGAATTATTTCTGACAAAACGTGAGCATGAAATATTATTACCAACACTGAAAGCAGAACACAAGTTAAGAATAAAAACATTCAAAGGGTAACAACATAGAATAAAAGCTAAAAAAGTACAGTTCTTAAAGTTATATTTTCCTACATAATATATATGCACAAATGCAGTTTTAATGTAATTTATGCTTTAATAATTTATCAGTTCTGCTACGGCAGGCCGAAAAATGTTAGATGAAGATAAAATGACGTCCTGATATTTATTTATATTTTGTCATAATTATTATTTCAGTCGACCAGTGTACCTTCGTCAAAGATATTACCTTCGCGTTCCGTTTGGGCAATAACTGTTTTACAAACATGCTCGGAATGGGGACTATATACATTCATGAGCAACACGCCAAGTTACATGGAAGATGTCCTTGGGTTTGAGATTAAAAAGGCAAATACATTGTAACTGTTTTAACATCAATAATTGAAGCATTTATAAAATCGATGATAACATACCATTTAGGGTTTTTTTTTTTTTGGTTTGTTTTTTGGCGATCTATAAAACAAACCTATTTCAACGTTCGAAATATTCATTTTCTTCTATTATAACTTGATTTTCGGCATTCATTGAAGACAACACTGACTGAATTAGTCTTCATCAGATTTATATTGTTATAACGACAGACATCCAAATTGGTATGCATTAATTTATATTTTAAGCTTAGTTTTGTTTATAAAATATGACTTTTACACTTTAAGTAAGACTGGATTCCTTTCCGCTTTACCATTCATCGGAATCTGGGGCGTTTCATGTATGACACCACTCTTTGCTGACTTTGTTCGAAAACGAGGCTGCCTTACAACATCATCCATACGTAAACTGTTTTCTGGTATAGGTAAATATTTTGGATATCAAAACTACCTTTTATTGCTTTAACAAAAAAATGCATTACATTACCAACCGGGACACCAGAACATAATACTTATTGATAATCTTAATCCTGTCTCCAATCCTATTTATAATTTTTCTACTTTTGCAACTTTCTTGTCAGTGGCAATAAGAAAGTCGTTGTGTTTATTATTTTTGTTTTCTTCAAGGGAGTATTCGTCATGCAGTATGTATTGTCATCATGGCAAATATTCCCAAAAACCCAGACCTTGTGGGGACATTACTAACCATTGGAGTGGCTATGTCTGGTATACAGTTCGGGAGTGGGTTTCTAGTTAATTCTGTAGACATCACACCAATATATGCAGGGATTATTATGGCGTTTTCAAATTACGTTGCTTCCGTGTGTGGCATCCTTGCTCCATTTGCAATTTGATTTATAGTGGAAGATGTAAGTTAATCAAATTTTAAAATATTATTATTGATACATTTGATATCTTGCAAAAGAAAATCATATTACGCAATTTAGTTTTATACATTAGTAAGTTATTATCAGTATTTATTCAATTAAAGAAAAAAAAAGTAAAAAACTAGCGTTTTTAAACAAACATTCCTATAAATTTATTTGTATACCATATTGAGAGTAATATTTTCACATATATTTTGAAAAAAATTAAAGAACTAAAATATTTTGTTTTTGCACTAGTATATATATATTATAATAATATAATATATCATTTTTATTTTAGGGAAAGAAAGAGCAATGGAAGACTGTATTTTATATAACGGCTGGAATTTACATATTCGGGGCTGTAATTTTTGCCGCGTTTGCATCGGGAGATGTACAGCCGTGGGCATTAGAAGTTGTTTGTAATACTGAAGTAGAAGTAAATGATGACAGGGTTAAACAAGATGGAACAGACCTTGAAAAAGACTGTCCTAGTCCAGTTGTTTGATGACTTAACTTGACTCGAAATAAACAAACTATCACCGTATTTCTACTCTTCAGCAAACGCAGTAAAGGATATTTGTGCATATTTTGACCACTTGTTGGAAATGTATGTAGATTGTAAGTGCCGTTTGCAATGTTTAAATAACTTTCTTTGTTCACTTCACAATATCTAACTTTCAAATTCATTGTCAAAATGTTAATGCCAAATTAATATGCTTTAAATATATTCGATATATTTCGGGTCCTCTTTACTAAGGGATATTGAGGATATTCTTTCATCGCATGCTTCTTTGATAATGCGCGAAAAAGAATATATATGTAATTGCATTGACCAAGAAAATGGATATCGGAATAAAGTAATAAGGTACTGATTTACAAAATATCAACCAGAACAACAACAAAAAGAAAGGAAACACAACAACATTAACAAAAAATGAGAATATTTTCTGTTATTTTCAATTTATTAAAATAACTACAGTCAATCCCGAGTAATAGTATACGTTGAATCACGAACAATTACGAACAATCGGTTGGCAATTTCTGTTGCAACGCAAGGTGGATTACACCTGAAACAAACATGAAAAATAAAAAGTAATGGTTTAAATTATCACACCTTCATAATGGAATTATCAATGGACATACAAATAGACAAAATTTATGAGAGAAATAAAGCTTTTCTGGCATAAAAACTGAGAACACAGGTATACATTTACTTAAAGAAAACATGCATTAACGGATAGATTCTTGTGACCACGAGTCGCTACTGCATTGTTTTAAATGCGTGTCTCGGGGTGCAATGTAAAACAGCTTAATACAACGAGGGCCTGCGTGCTCAGGCTTTAAATGATTTCTCGTGCGTCTGAGGTTAATAATGCATTAAAAAAGGTACATCGACCCCTATTGAATTTTTATTTTAAAAGCAATCTTAAGGCACGTGCAACGCAAAATCGAAATATTAAACGTTATCCTGGTGAAACCAAAATAAATAAATACAATGGCCTTTAACAGACTAGCCTATGATTTCATGCAGTCTGACCTGGCTCTCTACTGTTTTGTCGGTTTAACTGAAATTGTAATCTATTCTGATATTCCCAAAAATGAGAGCAAACAATGTCCAAAACATAAACTGTATAAGTCCAATTAAAGGATACTAGTAACTACCCTTTGTTGCAAAGGGGTTGCATTAATTTTTGAGTCATCAGGAATGCACCCACCGTTAATCTCTGTGTGATCGTAAGAAGCGATTAAATGGGTTCGAATAACTGTAGTCTATGCTTCTCGTAGCACTAGCAGATTAGATAATTGTGGCACTTAGTGTTCCTTTAAAATTTTAAACAACCGCGCTTTTCCAAAATAAGTTTTCCGTTATCTCTGCGCCATATGGCATATAATGTGTTGGTTCGCCGTAAAACAAAAATAAATAAACATCAGAAAACGGGTTAACTGTTTCACGAAGCGTGCTTGTATTGACACATCTATATAAAAATGACATAATTCATCTATCTCTTGAATTACGAGTAACCCTCGCATGCGTTTTTATTAGATATTTTGATACGGATGTCGTTCTCGGTCAAAACCAAAATAGGTTCGTGCAAAGAGGGTTTTTGGTAAAATATAAAAAAAATACTTACCCGCTATAGCGGACTGCCATGCAGCGTTATAGTCGCAAGCTACCTCATTTTTCACATAATCGTTCCTATCATCTTTATAATCGTCACTTTTTCCTGGTCCGCCGACAAGAGCACCGTATAAGGTATGGGGATTTGGACCTGGATTTTTCTGTTCGTCCCAACCACAAGGTGCAGGCATACTTGGACACGAACTTTCAAGATTCAAAATGCACAGGTTGAATAAACTGCATACAACTACTTCTTAAAAAAGCATCGTTTTATTGCATTCAAAGGCAGTGGCATTTTTAAAGTTTAACAAGTTATAAGATATAAATTATGAAAAACACACACACAAATAAACTATCGGGAAATATTCCAGAAAAATGAAAACAGAGTGTTATGCATGATGCAATGCATGCAAAAAGAAAAATATTATGCAGCATAGTTTCAATCAATTAAAATAGTAAAGAAAGTAGATAATGTCTTAACAACACTAACAAAATTTTAAAATGAAATAATTTCATTTGCATTCATGATATTTCACATAACATCATTTGTTTTCAATGTACAATACCGCTCATGTGGTCTGCAATATTTCAATTTTTTAAAATCGATTGTCGTTTGACAGGTATGACAATAACATTACCTATATGACCGACAGTCGCAAATTTAAACAATTCATATTTTAAATATAGAATAATTCATAAGGTCTGGAGATGTTGTGCAATATAATAAATTCGTTGTAAATAACTGGACGAGTTATATGGCCTAAAACAACGGTTGTTTGCCTAACAACCCAAGTTATATCAAACCAGCAACAATTTGTATATGGCCCCTTCGTAGCTAAGGGGTTGCCTTGAATGGTTGAGGCATACGAATTTCAGTTATCGTTAATAACTGCGTAATCGTAAGAAGCGGCTAAATGGGTTCGAAGTACTGGTGTCTATGTATCGCGTAGCTTTTGCATGTTTTGATCCTTGGTGATGCTTTAAGTTTGTAACATACAAAGTCATATTTCCTTTTCGGCGCCATATGACGTAAACTGTGTTGGTGCGCAATAAAACTAAACAAAGCAGACAGTTTTTTTGCTTATGATTATATAACATATTTATATAAACAACATATAATGTAACAAATTGTCACCTGGATCTATGATGAGGCCTTGCAGGAGCATTGGCGCCGAAGCCAACAACATAGCTATGATGTGCCGGATTATCTCCTAGGGCATACTTGATTTGGCTGAGCGCCCAACATCGGTACTGTTTGGCGTGAAGCCCTGCATCTGCCGCCATCATAGCCGCAAGACCCATATTTACTGAGTTGAAAACAAACAAAAGATATATCAGCAAAAGCTGAAATGTTGTCCAACAAATATTAAGAGGATAGTTTTCCGTGAAATATGGAATATATTTTCACGAAACATGATAAAATGCCATATGTGGCATTTTATCATGTTGAGTGAAAATATGTACCATATTTCACGAAAAACGAAAAAAATACACTTTTATTTAATTTCAATATCAAAGAAAAATGGTTACGAACCCCCTTGCTTGCTAAGCAACTGCAATTGTACAGCGCGCAGTAATATGTTATTTATAGATGCGTCTTGTTTCGCACGCGATATTTGGCGCTACATTATGATGTCACGTAAACAACTCTTTACACGTCTGTACAGTGTTAATAACTAAAAAATTGGTGTTCGGATTTATTTTCTAAGTTAGACCATTTTCTGTCTTTCTAGACAGTTTTCAAAACAAAATTCAACAAAAAGTTGTTTTGTATTTATCAGATTTTTCAAACAAAATGGCGAAAGAAGTCCCTTAAAATAAATAGGGGTTTTGACTTCGCCCACTTTTATATTTATATATCATGTTTATTTAAAAAAAAAGAAATATATTTGACTGATATAACACCATATATCATAGGTAAAATTAAAAATGGATAACCCTTCTAAATTTGAAAATTTTGATTTTGTCCTTTCGACAATTTCAGAAAATGAGGATTTTTTTATTCGAAAAAAAAAAGAAGAAGATAATTGTAGCGTCGCACAATCTGTAGCAGCTGTTGCGTGTGCTTATTTAAATATAATTATTAAGTGAAGGGTTTTACCTGTATATCTGAGGGTTCCCCACTGCAGTCTGTAAGCCATGCCACCTGGGGTATACTCAAGGGTACCACCGGGCATCCAGTCAGTAAACGTTGCCTCCACATCAGTTTTGTAAATGTCCTTTTTTGTAAGCTTGTACAACAAAACCTGCAAAACCACATGCAGTAATGTTAATAAAACTATATTTCATTTTATGATTTAAAATGTCAAAGCAATTATACCTCTTGAATGTAGTATGACACACTTTGAAATATAAAATAATCATTAAAATCTGTAAAGCATTTTACTTTAAAATCAAATGTACAAAATCGATAAACATAAAACTAGTTCACTTCAATAGTTTCGATAGTTTCGCTTTACTTTATGCCAGAATTTTTCAGCAATCATTACATTCGAGTGCTCACTGTTGTACAATATGTTCCAAAGAAGCGACGCTCGGTGTTAATTATAAAAGTGTTATTGAATGTAATGTCTAATTTTCTGAAAGCCGGCATCACCCTCCCCATTTCGTTAATTATGGCATGTGTATGTATACCTGCCCATCGATCCCCAACCTAACCGGATAAATAACCGGAAATGAGCATTGTGATATTAACCCGTATGTGGGGAGAAATGATTTTATAATCCGAACAGCAAAGGTCACAAGTGATTGATGCATAGTGCATCACAACTTTATCAAGTTTTGCATTATTTTTTTTCTCACATTTGTGTAAGTAGTCTTGTCATCCCAGGAGTCGCCCCAGCCGGCACCACTGACACGGTTAGCTTCGGCGTCAGCCAGGTATGTGTTCTCTCCCGTAGCTTCATATAACCATGCACCGGCCCATCCTAACTCGTCTTGGTAGTCACCTGATCTGTGATGATAAATAAAGATATTGACGAATCAGATTACGCGTTGCATCGTAGACAGTTTACATTATTACCCCTCTCTTTTTTCGTAATGCTAATTTCCCATAGGCCTCTGGGAGTTATTTTTTACTGTTAATGCAAGTGTACCACGTGACTAAGAATTTTGTACTGTTACATAGGTAACAGTATTTTTAACAGTATAAAATCTGGCTACGCCTCGGGTAACAGTATTTTCCTCGGGATGATATTTTTACTGTTACCCACAAACCCATGTGTTATTTATATATTGACCAATCAGCGACACAGTAACTTTTAATGAAAAATCATTGACATTTAAGCAAAATGGCGACAGTTAAGGCAATTCTCGCTAAAAAGAATGATTAAAGATAATCGCATGCATGATTACGGTATTTCACTGAGTTTTAAATGAAAAAAAATTCAAGCAATTACAAGTCTTATTCCATATTAGAAATGTCAGTAAATTGTCAACAAATACACATTTCTTAAGAATGCTTACAACTTTTTCTATGAAATTATACTTTTGGAGTGTAAGGGTACTGTCATAAAGTATATTTGTTTCACTGCTAATAGTACGGAAATATTGTGAAATAGACCAAAGAAAACAATTCACACGAAACTTACAATCCATGTATACATATTACAAAATAAACGATAATATATGCAAAGAGAGCAGCTCTTACTGCAATAGTCACGCAGTAGATATATAGTGACAAATATTGCAAAATCAGTCATTTGTTGCACATAAGATGTTAATTATTGCTTGGATCTTAAATCTTTCCTAAAATCTCAGTTCATTTATCTCAAGTCTTCTTGAAACATTTTGGCCAATCTTGAGGCTTGCAGCTTTTCAATGGAAGAGGATATATTTTATTTTTGACTATGTGACCTTAAGCGTTGGTATTAAATTGCTTTTAAGATACCGAAATGGACAGACAGCAACATGTCACGAGTTGCCACACATGATTTTTAACAATATTCATGTATTAACAAGGAGGAATACATTTATTTACTTTTATCCATAATGCAAGAAACGAGTGCAATCCAAGATATGCAAAAGGAAACACAAGCGAACACAAAAGAACATATAACTAAACACATTATAGAAAGGTAGCGGGCATAGTATGCAAATTTACAGGTAAGGAGAAGTTGTTGTTTTACTTGTTTTTATTTTGTTGCTGTAACAGTTGTTGTTTTTTTCCGCTTTTTGCTGCAAAATATTGTGCTGCCGGCCGTCGCCAGTTGGAATCTGACGCATGACAGTTTTCGCATTACATATAACACTATGATCGTAGTATTTCGAGATATACAGAGGGGTAAAAGATTGAACGTAATACATACGTACCTGTAGAAGCCTGCGGCAGCGCTTACACTGTCACTGTACTTTCCTTTGAACTGTGTTGCAAACTCGTAGAGTTGTTTGGCATGAGTTAAAAGAATATTGGCGTATGTTGCATCTAGAGAAAATATTTTTAGAGATATTAAATCATTATTATTTCTATGTTGATTTTTTGTATGTGTCACTTGCTAACTTTACGGTTAAAACCTTTAGCTTATAATTACGTATGTTACAGCAAACAAATTGTGTATAACATTGAACTGATGTCGATATAATGTAATCAACGTATACATGTTTGAAAATTATTATCAATTTAAGTATTATTTATATGATTTTAAGTATGTTTATGTATAAAAAAACGGTAATTTTGTCATAGATTCTTACATTTCATGATATTTTAAGATAAAAAATCACATAACTGATGAAGGTTAACAAAATAATTTTTATCATACATAAAATATGTTATCCACACAGCATCGCATTAATTAGTAATACATAGGCTACTGGTTCAATACTCGGACAAGTCGTTATTTCTCCGTCACAATTGATCACAGACATTGAGAGTAATGTCATTTGTCACCCTCCGGTGTTTCAAAAATTATGTGGTAAAAGTAGTCCGTCAAATGAGGGAGAAATTAGTAATTACAGGTTAGTTATCAAGGAATGCCGGTAAGGCCGATCGACAGCCAAGGTATGACCAAAAACATGTGTTAAAACTTGCGTAAAACCAGGAAAAAATACAACCAAACATAAGTCAACGAAAACATGAAACTTTCCGAAAATTTTAATATTCCTCCGATAGAAAGAATATCTCCATTAAAAATTGAAAATTGAAATATTAAATTAAAGAAGAGAGCAATTAATTAGTATAATGCGCCAAAGTGAGTAATCTTTGTTTCAAGGAAAATTTATATGTTACAGTAATGTATTTACATACTAATATGCTTGAATACAAGGGAACCAGCCGCCATTGCTGCTGCGGTTTCACCGGCCACGTCACTTCCGGGTTTTGATTCCGTGATTTTAAAGGCTGGTCGAGGCATTTTCATATCTTCTGGTCTACCCCAGAACCCATGATCCTGTCCCCCATCACCTACCTATGAGATTTTAAGTACATGTGCAATCTATTTATAGGACTGCATAATTCATAAAAATACATTTTACATCGGTCAAATTTTATTGATATCCATCAAGAACCATAAATAAACACCGGTCTTTGAGAAGTACTTTTACAGAGAAAAGAAATTGTACAGTAGTCTCTTAGTTTACATAAAAATTTATTTTAGTTCAATTATTTATGAAGAAGAAAGCTTAAAGATTCACCATTGAATCAGTTCCTGGAAGCAGCCAGTAATAAGCAATGAATGCACAAGGAGCTCAAGGAAACAACAACTGACCCCCATACAATCTTAAGATTACTATTCTGACATGATACCAGCCATTTGTATCATTGTTATGTCCCTTTCTTCGCTGGTTTCCTTTCAAGTGTTTCAATAAAGCCGACACACTTGAAAAACGAATTGATCTTAAATGAAGCAATATTTAGAAGAATAGCATGGTTAAAGGTACTACTGGCATGGATTTCAAAATTAAACATTACGATCAGATATTAATACTAAGGTAGAATCTACTTCGCAATGAATACCTGCACGTAAAGCTCGTGTGGAGCAACGTGGCACTTAAGTAAGTAGTCTAGAGGCCATTTTATAGCATCGAGTATTTGTTGATGCTGCCCAGACTGGGTGTATGCGTCCTTCCACTCTAGATATCCCCATGCAAGCATTGTGGTGGTGTAAGCCATTGGGAAGTTAAACTTTACATGATCCCCGGCTATGACAAAAAGAAATCACAAAATATAACTATGACATAAGAAGGGTTATAATTATGTTAAATAAATAGGATTATGAATTAGCTTAGTAAATAATTGCCTATACGTACGTGTAAGCAATGTTATTACATAATGATGATAAAATTATAATAGTTATTTTATGATGATGATGGTGATGGTTATGATAATGATGACAATGATGGTAATGATGATTAAATTTATGATGTTAATAATCATGTTGATGATGTAAATATCGGCGACGATGATGCTAGTGTTGATTATCATCATGATGATGATTCAACTGACGATGACGACGACGATGAAGATCATCATACAGTAAATAAGAGTGAGACATAATACTATAAAGAAAGAGAACAAAATGTTGTTGGCCCACCTTTACAGTACGTATCACAGGTCCATAAATATGCGAACGTAACAGGTGTGTGTATAGTACAAAAAAGCTATTCCATATATTATTAACATACCAATATATTATACATATTTTGATGTGCTATGTAAACAAAAAATCAAACTCAATAGACCTCGTATTAACGTAATAATTATATATGTTTTGAATGTAAATATTAGGATCTGGTATAACTGAACATGTCACTTTTTCTATACAAGAACAGTAAATTTCATACCGTCATAATACCCCCCTGTCAAATCCTCCCCATTTGCTCCTTGATCTCCAAGGGCGGAGTCACCACGCCACGGGATGCGGTTATTTGCCGGAAGTTTTCCGGATCTCTGCGCTTCATAAAATAACAACGACTTTACAAGGACTTCTTCGTAATTGTAGTCAGTGTGCTGTTGTCCTGAAAGTTGAGATTAAAATCACGAATTTATTATTTTCTTACTGACTTGCCAAATACCCAAAATAACAGTCAAATAAACTGCTCTGCAACTGACAGTTTTACTTTGATTGCAAAACAACTTAAGGTAATACCATCCTAATGCATTACCTCCGCTTTGAAGAGTATACTATTGTTAACTACATTGAAAATGAGGGCCGTGGGTTCAATCCCCAGAAGGGTCAACTTTTTTTTTCATTTTTTTTTTCTTTTAACATTATTTATGTATCTCTTATGTCCCATTTGGAAAGAAAAAAGTGTTTAATTTTGATTTTTAATTTACATAGGTATTTATTGGCTAAACTATGCTAAATCTAGTAATAAATATGGTACCTGATATTTTCAAAGTGTAATAAAATCAAAACTGGACGGTAAAAGTATTTCATATTTTACAAGATCAACCAATATACTTCTTTAAAATTTAGGGAAACTTTGAAAACAGGCACTCATTTGGGTAAATTTTAAGGATTTTTTTAAATTAGGCTCCCTAAGTAGGAAAATGGTAAGACACGTGGTAAAAATGGGTGGAGTAGGGTAACATTTTAATACAGATTTCATAAATTTTAAGTAGAAACCACAATTTTGCTTATGTGGATTGTTAGCTGAATGGTACTATTTGTTTCTTTCCAAAAATTAATGGGAAATCGTTTTTCATTAGAATGTCATTGCAGATTATTTAAAGGTTCATCATTTCTAAAAAAAAGCCTCATAAAATCCTAGCTTAAGTTCAGAAAAGTGGCCATAACTTGATTTCCGTACGGTAAACTTTGTTTAAATTTTGCATACAAGTGTACTTTAAGATGATGTCAGTTTTTTAGTTCCTTATAGTGCCAATTAGGGTGGTAATATCAACAGGTAATATAAGAAAATTCCAACATAATCAATAAAAATGAGTTTAGCGTCACAAACCGAAAATATCTCTGATATCTGATTTGACCTATACGTTTACAAATGTTTATAGTATAGAACTAACTTTAACTTCCTTAAATTGACTGCGATGTTTGCCTTGGTAACAGAGGCCTTTAGCTTTTGAAAACATACTAGTGACACCCGTGATTTCATGAGTCTTTTCATGTATTTCTTGTTAAAATGGTAGCATATAACGTTAACCAAGACTTCTTGCTTAGTTTGGAACTATTTGCAATAATTAATATGATATAGCGCTCAAGTGTTTTGAATGGCATTGTTTAGAAATGGCAACTTTCTAAATGAGAAACAAATATTAATTAAATGTATTTAGAATTTTGGATAACTTTATTTTCTAATATTCACGTTATGCAGGTGTTCAATTATATGGCATGTTTTAGAGTAATTTACCAAATCAAATGTCATATGAAAATAAAATGTGCATACCTGATGGTATATGAACCGGTGGAACGGTTTGGGTGTCACCGGTAAGGTCAGTGAATTCTGCTGTTGCAGTCGGTGGGGTACTTCCGCTGAATTTTCCCATCATTCTAATTTTGAGTGTAGTTCCGGCTGCGTGATAACCTTTGTCTACCTTATTAAGGAGCACGAAATATTTTCCTTTGGGATCTTTGACCAACCACTCGCCGTCCCATTGCTGAATAATATGAAATGAAATAGCAACAACATACAGCGTCAATGTAATGCACTATAACCACGTCCAACTTCCACCTCTACTCCGGACCATAACTAAAACTTTTGAAATTTTAAACCCTAAAAAAAGGTCAAGTCTTAGTGGATGATTGCAGCGCTCTCCAAAACTGAGACACTACGATTTGAACATATATTCCTAGCCAACAATGACTCCAAAACAAAACCACCACAATGATCCCGGTGACGAAATTAAAACTTATGATTAATTTTTACGCTCAACCACAAATCATATATATTAATTAGTATAAATATGTATAACTTATTATATCTCTTCCACAGAGATAACATACATTTTGAAATATTGAATTGTTTTTAACCTGCCTGGTTAAATCATTTGAATGGAACAAAAAAAGCAAGTTTGTATGAAAAGCTTTTACAAAATCGTCACTGTTCCCATTAAAAATATCACGAGAAAAAGTTAAAAACAAACCTGAATACCAGATACGGGAACGCTGAAGTTTATTTTTAGTTCCCAACCGAGGACGTTACTCTGTAATGGAACAGTGAATTGGCCTTCCCAGTTTGTGTCCCAGTGTTGTAGAAGCTTCATAGTCAAAGTTTCGCCATGGCAACAGTGTTGCCAAGCAACAAGGATAAACAATGCCTTCCACAACTATAAGCAGATATTTTCATTATTATATATGAATTGACTATTGAAACATACCCCATTCCTCATGATTAAATACTATATTATATCAAAATGGTTTTCACTCCAGTTAAAACATTTATATCTGTGAGATACAAATTATATCACACTGTTTAAAACAGAGCGAAAACTATTTAGAGTTTAAGTTTCTGCTACACATTGAAAAAGTTTACAGATCACAGTACATAGTGAAATATTTAGGAATACCTAAATTTAAAATAAATTGTCTAATAGAGCAACTTAAATATTATAAAAATTAATGTACTTTAAATGCAAAAGTTATAGAAATTGATATTTAATGTACTCGTATTGCTTTCAATGTGTTAAATTTTACTTCGTCCCAACTTTATAAAAAAAAAATTCTCGCTGTAAGCGCTCTTGCAATATTAACAAATTTTATTTCCATTTTTTGCTTAGTAAGTGAAATAACAGCAAATTCCAACTATTCAATTCAGCGCGGGAAAAAGACACACGATCAGAAGATGACGTCAGACGTTACTATACAACCGTTGAACAACCAAAAATAATTAAAGTCTATAGTCATTACTGTGGAGTTACCGTTAACTATATAATAGAAAGAGCATCGATACACGAGGCTGTCTGATTTATACAAGGGGGCGTAGCCCCCCCCCCCCCCCCGAGTATATCAGATTGCCGAGTGTTTTGATGTTCTTTCTCTTTTGTATCATAGTCAAACCTAAAAACACGTTCCCTGTTATCACAATATGAAACCCCGGAGAAAAGTAACCAATGAACGATCATCTAAATATGACATTTCTGTCTCACTAATACCTGCACTCCAGTTAACGCACGGTGCATGTATATGTATACGATTTAACTCGGACACATTTTTAACAGAAAGGTCCCCAAACTATGATAAAAATAAGGTAAATGATATTTAAATCGAGAAATATTTCAGCTAAAACAAAACTCAAAAATTTATTTGTTTTTGAATTTAGAAATAAAAGAAACCATTCAGCTTAAAATGTACGCAAAAATAGTTCGGAACAGCTATATCAACCACTAGGTAGTAATATACTGTGAGTAATATGGATTTTATCACACACAAAAAACCCAGTATTTCATTGGCTATTATAAAAAAAGTCGCTTTATACGCTTAAACATACTTTTTCGAATAAAAAAAACCCTTTTATTATTAAATCAATAGGATACCATTTCGCGCAACAGAGAAATACATGACTTACCATACTGACCAGTTGACACAGAATATGACCGTTATTAAAGTCTAAACACTAGTTCCTCAACTTATAAGAGAAATCTTATCGTTATCAAAGGTTTGTCCTAAATAAAAACGCCGTTACGCGTACAACAACAAGGGTCCATAACTAGAGATGAAATATAATTATGCGGTCAGTAAATATTACCAACAGCTTAATTTGATTATATTTATTTTAGTTAGATTGTCTTGAAAGTAAAAAGCTTAATTGAAATTGAGTATGTATTTTTCTAGGCTTAATGAGGGTCCATCCGTCCTTTCAGGTATTGAAAGTAAGGGCTACATTGAAATCAAGACCTTTTCCGTGAAAACCACTACCGATGTCTAATGCTGCAACGCGACCCTGAACCAGAGAAGGCTTAACCTTTCCTTTAGGGTTTAAAAGACGTAGCTATGGTACGTACTGGGGATGGGAGATGGACGTGGTTACAGTTACAAAATCAATGACACTTAACGTACAATAGTTTCCGATTTTAAAATATGCACGTTAAATCAGGTTTATTTCAATTCATGTTATGCAGCAATGGGACGGCGAGTGGTTGGTCAAAGATCCCAACGGTAAATATTTCGTGCTACTTAATACGGTATACAAAGGTTATCACGCAGCAGGAACTACACTCATCTTCTTATCCTGGTATCAGTTCTGATGACTTTTTAACATACAGTCGATGACATTCTATTAAATACACCTGCACGAGATATTATACACTAAATGTCGTTCTATAATAACTTCATTGCCAAGGGAAGTAACTATAACCGCGATATGAATAATAAGTTTGTTTTATTATTTCCCTTACTATTATTTGAAACAATAAAATTTCTATTTTGCATGTAGATAAAAAGAACATACATTTATAAGAAAAGTCATTCGTATGAAATGAAGTGATCGGTATCAATCGGTTCGCCAAATATATGAAAAGGAACAGACACAATGAATATAAATTAACACCAAAGGATATGCAAAATGCAAATTACAAACACATATAAATTAATAAAAAATGAAGCGAGACGCCAAATACACGAACATTTTTTGGATAAGGGGAAAAACATCAACGTTATGTGTAATATTGAATGTACGAGTATTCTGAAACAATTAAAACATTTTATTTTAACTAAAAGATTAAAGTTTTACACAGTCAAAACATTGCTTCCACTATGTTTATTTTGTGTGTGTTTGCGATTTGTTATCCTATTATTTAGAAATGATTCTACGTTTCGAAATGAATATACTAATTCTAACCATGCTTGTTGAAACTTACTGAGAAGTGACTATATCAAACTAACTTTATCTAGAAGTCCAAAGCATTCAGAATGTATGGGCCGCGCCATTTTGATTCATGGGTAGCGCCATCTTCTGATCTGAGATAAGAAGTATACAAAGCAGCTTTTAGCACCCGACGAAAACAGAATATTTGTGGTCATTGAACAATGAATCAAAGGTTATTAACAAAAAAGAGAAAGATGTACTAATAATCTTTTCGTTTTTTTTTTGTTGTTTTTTTTTTTTATTTCTGTAAAGAAATAGCGTCTCACTTCCAATCGGACAAGTCCATATGTTTATTGCATCATAAGAGGATCGTTTAGTCTATTTCAAGGTCAAATTGTCTTGTCAGCCATAGCCAAAGCAAACAACGTATTGTAATTAGTGTGTATAGCGTTAGTGGGTGACCACGGGTTCTTCATTGTTTAAAAGTTTTGAATGCACATTTCATGCAATTCACATATCGGAAAAAGCAGTCAATCTATCGCATGCCGGCATCATGTATGTACATGCCTTTCAATTGATATGCTCTGGGGCACATTAAAAATGAATGATGGTTTGACAACAGCAACATTTATGCCTACGACTTTTATAGTAAAAAAAAATTAAGGATATATCTGCTTTCGACTCCTGTTTATAACCATATTTATAAACAAAGTGTTGCCCCAGAAGGAATTTGGTAGGTCTAACCAAATTAAATATTTTATATATTATCTACTTATACAATTATTTAAAAACAAGTAACAGCAAAAATATCAACAACAACAACAACAACAACAAAAGCTGAATTATTCTTCTATTTCATGATACTAAAACTTTATTTTACTTTTTACAGAAATTGAATAGCAATTAAGAATGGAAAAAACAATGGTAAGCGACCTTAACCTTTGGCATACCAAATATATATTTATTCCAGGAATACTGACAATCCTGTCAAACTATTCCAAGAAAGAAAACCAGTCTTGTTTAATGACGTAGTGCTTGCAAAATTGGACGATATTGACTTGGACATATAAGATTGTAGTGGTATATTAATCTAATTCACTGTTTGATTGTTGGGTTGTCAAACTTGTTCTAATGTTGGTCCCAGAATTACCATGACAACAGAGAAATTTGGTATAACATATATATGTATGAAACTATTAACCAAGAACGAGTTACATCAATGATTTCCACCTCTATATAAGAGATAAGGTTTTGATAAACTTGTCACATTAAAGATTTCATGATACCCGCCATAAGAACATCTGCGGATGTTTTTTAAATCAAAATTTTAACATAACCATGATTTAATGTCGAATTGTGCTTAAGCCGGTGCTAGGGGCCGTGAACGATAACTTGCACTTTCTAATACCACCCATGAACTGGCTCATTCAAACCGAGCTTGCAACATTTTCAATTTTGTCGTTTTGTACGTTCCTTAGGGATTCTTTATTTCTCTCTTTTCTGTTTCTAAAACATTTATCGATACGAAATTTTGGACCCAGTAATTTTGTAATACAGCAAGAAATAAATAATGATTAATCTAGCAGCTCTTTCCATCTAAATATATTAGTAAGAAAATAACGACAACAACAAAACGTCTATTTATATATTTATTAATATTTATTAATATAAGCTTCTAATGAAGTAGCATTAATATGAAATACAATTTTCGAGGAGAATTATAATGTTTAAATAAAAGAAAAACTTTCAACATTATTGCTTTAAGTGTTTTGACTATGTTGACGGAACTGTCCTTTTTTATTCTATTATGTTTTGTTTTCCCCCAATTCTATTGAATCGATGATTCTCATTAAATATAAAGTGTTGGAGAGTGGTTTCGGAATTAATCATCTCTCATGTACAAACGCAATCTAGCCAGGTCTGCAATTTTCTAAGCTCCGACTTTTTAGTCTGTTATAATAATTTTATTCTTGGATGAAACGATTTCTTCTCATTGTCCGCTTTGTCTATATTTTGTTTTGGATTTGTTTTGTCTTGCATTTCTTTTTCGCGCTACTTTATGTTTTATATACACATAGTTCATACAGCAAATTAATTAAAATATTGAGAATTGCAAAACGTCATTGACTGTTTGGCATGATAATGATATATTTTTATTTTACGAAAATTGACAACATTTTATGTTATAGCAATTCTATAAAAGACAACAAATATGGTTTGCTGATGTATTATGTGTGCAAGAGTAGAAGATACTGACATATTCATTAGTAAGTTTGTGTGGTATAATTTAATTCAATTGTACATTGTCGTATAATTCAATTCATTTGTCAATTGTAAGGTTGTCACTAACACTCGTTATAGCTGTTCGCATTTCGGAACGCTATGATTGTGAAGAAAAATATTCATTAGTTATATAGACATCTAGTTTCTATTTCTTTGGTTGGGGTTTAAGTTACTCTAACGCTGTATAAGTCATATTGCGACATTATAGCTTCATTGGTGGAGGAAGACCTGAGATGTCATATTCATTTTTTTCAAACTCTATCAAGCACTTCCGTAGAACAACCGATTGTTCGTAAGCTAACTGGATAGCTTTTAATATGACACATTCAAAGTAAAAATAATAGCGGTAAAGGGCAAGTGATATAACGTCGAAGACCTTACCAACTCGGACACGGACGCCCTTATATTGTTAATTTTTCGTTTTGTGTTTTAAAATAGAGGGCAAATGAAATTCTTTCTTTTAAAAAAAAAATAGACGACAACTTCCCGTAAAAATCCCCCACATAATGTACTTTGGTGGCTTTTTATTGAAGGTTATCGACACATAAAATGTTAGCATGTCTAGCGCCGCCAATAAACTTGTTTTTCAAATGTCTATAAAGCATCCTGTTGACCTTAAGAGTTCATCATGTTAGCAGACTTATTTCTTGGAAATATGTCCTAATATAAAAATAAAACAATACACCCCGTATGTTTGTGCAAGGTTTTTTTAGCTCACCTGCCACAAAGGAATGGGAGCTTTGTGATCGCTTTCGTCCGCGCCGCTCCGTCGCTCCTGCCGTCTCGCTCCCGTCGTCCGTAAACTTACTAAATACACCTCAAAACCACAAGCCAATCTTCATCCCAAACTCACCAGGAAAGTTCCTTGGTGTCACTTTAAAATGTCAACAGAATTTAATTCCCTGCAGAATCCGGTGCCATGGCAAACCGAAAGAAAAAATAAATGTATCTGTAAAAAAAAAACCCAAGAGCTAGACTTAGTATTGGCAGAAACATCTCTAGGAGTCTACCAATGTTCAAATAAAAGCCCCGGTCAAAAATTGCCCCGCCCCAGGGGCGTCATTGATTTTCCCTATATGCATATAGTAAAAACTTGAAAATTCTTCTTTTAAAGAACCCAAAGAGCTAGAGCTAAGATATTTAGCATGAAACATGTTCTAATGGGTGTCTACCAAGTTTGTTCAAATAAAAGCCCTGGGGTCAGAATTGGCCCCGCCCCAGGGGGTCATTGATTTTCCCTATATGCATATAGTAAAAACTTAAAAAATCTTCTTTTAAAGAACCCAAAGAGCTAGAACTAAGAATATTAGCATGAAACATGTTCTAATGAGTGTCTACCAAGTTTGTTCAAATAAAAGCCCTGGGTCAGAATGGCCCCGCCCCAGGGGGTCATTGATTTTCCCTCTATGCATATAGTAAAAACTTTAAAAATCTTCATTTTTAAAAACCAAAGAGCTAGAGCTTAGATATTAAGCATAAACATCTTTGTAATGGATGTCTACCAAGTTGTTTAAATAAATGTCCTAGGTTAAAAATTGGCTCCGCCGGGGGGGGGGGGGTCATGTTTTTCCTATATGTATATAGTAAAAACTTAAAAAATCCTCTTTTAATAAAC